AAGGAAGTAAGCACAAGATGCCGAAAACGCTTAGCAGGGTGGAGCGCACCCTTCATGCGACTCGCCGAATACCTCACGGTGCTTTGCGCTTGGTGATGTGAGAGCCTGGTCCGGTGAGAACCCGGCGTGCTCCGTCCCGGCTTTGTAGGGATGCGAGGTNCTCGTGGAAATCCTTCAGCTCGAACTCGCTCGCGACGACAACAACACCGAAGACCGCCGGTACCAGGAGGGAGCCGTTCTTTGCGGAGACCTCCGAAAAAGAAGCGGCGACTACGCCGACGGCGACACCACGACTACTACCACCGACCACGCGAAGGGCGAGAACGCCTTCTTCTCAGACAAACGGCCTGGAAACCCTCGCACCCGCGACAGCACGGTGATTTGCGACGGCGGCGGCGGCGGTGGTGGCGGTTTCCCGTTCTTGGGCGCGACGAGTCGGGAAGAACTTAGGCGGTTACGCCTCGAGAACCGAAACATGTACCTGCTTCTCGTGGAAAACCGGGAGCTGAAGACGCAAATCCAAGTGGAGGCCGCCAACGCCGAGCTTGTCCAGAGGGAATTGAGAGACAAGCTGGGTAGGGTCGAGGGGAAGCTGGACGAAGTTACCGGGGAGCTCGAGGCGGCAAGAGGGAGGCTGTTGCTGCTTCCGCAGCCGGCAGTGGCGACGGCTATGGAAGAGGCGACAATTTCGAGGTGGGCCGTCAGAGATCGGTCGGATGTTGGAGGTTTTACTGTGTAGTACAGGGGTGTTTGATCCTTCGACATACGCACTAATAGTAACACGATGCCACTCCTCCCGTGTTTCTTTTGCATTGTGCCTTCTTGTGGGCTTACGAGAGGTACACTGGTGGACAAAATGAAGGCCTTGAATCTGCGATTGAATCACAAGCGCGGAACCCTCGCAACCCCATCCCATCCTTCGCCTTTCTCTGACGCGGACGTGTGGTGTTGTTGCTCTGTAACACAACGCGCCGTCTCTTGCACCCCTGCTGCAAAAGCCGGAGCAGAGGGAGCGATAGCAACACCATCCCGACTTCGGAGTTGTCTTCTTGCCCGACGATAGCGACGACGGACTCGGCCTTCGGCACCGACGTTTCAGTCGGCGATGGTGGTGGGGGTAGCGATGGTACTGGTCGGGGGGGTGGATGCAGTCACAACAGTGGGGGTACCGATAGGAGCCGAGTGACCCCGTTGGACTGGAGAAGGAGGCCTGAAAAGGCGGTATGCCCGACGATGCCGTCCGAGGACGACCTCGGTCAGAAACATGTCACTGCTACCAATGGGATGGTGACGACGACGAAGGGGATGGAGCGACGCGCGGCACAACAAGGTTCCCTCGAAGAACAGCGTCACGACTCCAGCGATGACGCTACGAACAGCGATGGTGATGGCGGCGACGAAGAGTTGGAAGAGCTATTCCGAAGGAACGAAAGGACCATGCAAGAGATTCGCTGCGACCTGAAACTGCTACAATCTGACAATGAGATTGAGCTCGAAGATAACAACACCAACAACCGCAGCAACGCCAACAACGATGACGGCGACTACGGCGACAACAGACAGCAACCAAAAAGCCACGGGGAACAACAACCGCGAAAGGCTGGGGGGGATTCGGCGGAGACCGGCGTTGGGGACCGATTTCCACCTCTGAAAATGCCTCCACAGGCGCTTTTTCGGGGCGGAGACAACAGCCAACGTCGGACAGGGGGCATTCAAATTCCAGAACCAAAGCTACAACCTCCCCAAGGTAAAGTCTGGGAGAGAGACAGGAGCTACCACCCATGTTTAGAGCCCCCGTCCGTTTCCGAGCTTTTGCTGCAGCTCCGGCACGACGACAACGTACGTTCTTCTCCTGCGGTGCGGTGTGGCGAGGACGGCAATAGGAAGGAGGGGGACGTCGGCAACAAAGCTGCTACCAATAGCCCCCCCCATAGAGGACGGTACGCGCTAGGCGCAAGCAGCACAGAGGGATCGGACGTGGGAGATTCAACGAGGGGGAGGGGGGGCGGCGGCGGCGAGGGGGGGGGCGTTGGTTACGCCGATACGAAGGGCGGGTTAGTCACTCTGGTTTCCTCGAATGCCAGGGCGTTGCTCATGTCATAGTTCTTGGCTTTTGTCGAACACACGATTTTTTTGTCATGGTGAATGACGTGGTCGAGTCTTTGCTGCCAACCGTGCGAACCGCAATACTTGTCGATACAAACAAATGCCTTGTAGAGACGAAGCAGAACTCACACCTCACCGTGCTTGATTGAGTTGATTGCCCCGCTCCTGGACCGCCGTGCACTGGGGGATGAAGCAGCCGTACCCGGTATGTATGTCGTGCACCGTTCGCACCTGTTCGAAAGGGGGGCAAGGACGAGGCAGGGGACAAGGGCTACTCCCTATGTAATAGTCTATTTTTGAGGTGTAGCAATGAAGAGTAAACGTGCCTGCAGCCAGCCGAAGTGCACACTTGAGAGCTTGAAGCGCCCAACAACTTACTTACTCGCCGTACACACACGGCATTCACAGCCTGGGGTAAGGGGTGGGTATGCAACCGACGTTGATTGCAACAATTAGTCTAGCACAAATAATGCAATGCCCATCAGCGTGCTACAGCAGTGTAGTTATGTTGGGCCCCGACGAGAAGAAGAGAGGAACCGGCGAAGGCCACGCGTTACGTTGTTTGCCTGTCTACAATCGGCAAGAAAGAGTGGGGAGAGTAGAAGATGACCGAATCCCCAAAACGTTCCCGGGTGTTTTCTCAAGGGAATGCGGCGCACAAGTAGTTCAACAAACACGCATTCACAGCCTGGGGTAAGGGGTGGGTATGCAACCGACGTTGATTGCAACAATTAGTCTAGCACAAATAATGCAATGCCCATCAGCGTGCTACAGCAGTGTAGTTATGTTGGGCCCCGACGAGAAGAAGAGAGGAACCGGCGAAGGCCACGCGTTACGTTGTTTGCCTGTCTACAATCGGCAAGAAAGAGTGGGGAGAGTAGAAGATGACCGAATCCCCAAAACGTTCCCGGGTGTTTTCTCAAGGGAATGCGGCGCACAAGTAGTTCAACAAACACGCATTCACAGCCTGGGGTAAGGGGTGGGTATGCAACCGACGTTGATTGCAACAATTAGTCTAGCACAAATAATGCAATGCCCATCAGCGTGCTACAGCAGTGTAGTTATGTTGGGCCCCGACGAGAAGAAGAGAGGAACCGGCGAAGGCCACGCGTTACGTTGTTTGCCTGTCTACAATCGGCAAGAAAGAGTGGGGAGAGTAGAAGATGACCGAATCCCCAAAACGTTCCCGGGTGTTTTCTCAAGGGAATGCGGCGCAAAGTAGTTCAACAAACACGCCTATCGGGGACTCTTCGTTTTTCTTTCTTTTGCTTTGGATCAGGTCGCGACACAAACGGTCTCATCAAGAAGGCATTCAGGAGCGACCCGCAACCGTCGTGTCCCCTCCCGTGAATCCCTACGATTTGATCAGAAGTCGGTCATCAAATTGCCACATGTACCATTTGTATAATGCAAGGTCTCGACGGCCACAAATCAATCTCCCAACGTTTTACTTCGACGATGTTGTTGCCAGATTGGTTCGAAAGGGAGGACAGCCGTGAAATGGCAAAAAAAAAACCAACACGTCTGAACCAGGCACGTGGAAAACTAGACGAAGTCACTTGGGTGGGGTTTCAGTTTCGGCAAAAGCTGCTTCGCTCTTGGTTCGCAAAAGAAAAAATGCGGCGTCGGGTCGATTTTGATCCGCACAAGGCCTGGGGTTGAGACGGCAGCGGCACGAAAGACTCGAAACTTGGGGGTTAAGAGCAGCCCTCTGCACCCCCATCAGATCCACAGACAGACAAGACCGGTCAAACATGGAACAACTAGTAAGAGTTAAGTGGTCCGTGGGTCCGTCACACCGTGAGCCACCCTGATTTCGAACGAGTGAGGCCCAACAGCTGGAAGACCACCAACGGTTTGATTCGTTCAAGCATGTTCCTCATGACAGAAATTGGCGGCTGACTAGAGAACGTCATCAAATGTCGTGTCAGGGGGTCACTCCTCGGTGTGTCATTTGTGTTCTGAGCGTGTCCATATATATATTTCCCAGCAAGGGTGGTTGGTGATACCCCAATGCGACCGAATTCCCGATGCGTCGCGACAAGCTTTGCCCACCTTCCAGCGTACATGTACGCACAGAAAATCGTAGTGGGAAAACAATACAAACTCCGAGAGTAGTAACAAGTGGCACATTTTCGTTCAGTATTTGCATCGAACCCTCAGCGGCACAAAATAAAAAACACGATCAAGCAAAGGTGGGCGCAAAGAAATACTAGGCCTTCGACCACCAAAGCAATGGTACCTCTGAAACCACCACCATCATCTCCCTTCGAAAAGCAAACTTTATTCTACCTCTACTATCGAGGGGAAATGCGACGACCCCCCCGCTGTTTCTAGACACCACCTCTCTCTATCCCCGCCCGTCCCCATCCCAAATTTGTTCAAATTGTCTAAAACAAGCCAAGAGACGAATGACAGCAGCGGAGCCGAGAATCTTTTGGTGCACCCGAGACACAGGGTGAGCAGTCAGACAAAAGACAGACAGACAGACGTCTCGTGGAGAGCATAAACACAGAGTCGTCTTTAAAACCACCGTCGTCCCGGTTCAAAACCCATTCCAACCCGGCACTGACATGCGGAAGGGCGGCGACGGAAGTGACCCGTTCCGTCAACGGGACATCCATCCGACGCCGGTCATACACCAACCGCATCCGAACTCAGCATATGCGATCGCCGCTCGAAGGGAAGCGGGAGGGGGGCACAAAGACAAGAGACCTTTCAGAAACAGCTGTATACTCAAAAGAACAGCTGCCGACAAATGCGACCCCCGCTCCTTGCCCTTCCGCCCCAAGCGCGATTGCTCCTTTGCGCTGCCACCAGCCTTCCAACAAAGAAGGAAGAGAACCACGGTGTGATGCAAAAATCGCCACGGAATGATGAGAGAGCTTCCTTCGTCGAGTCAGAAAGCTTTCAGGTGTTGCCTTCTGCTATCACCGGAACATGCGCGGAGGGAGGAAGAAACACGGACACGCCAAGAGACAAGGATAAAAGAGGATGGCATGAGAATCGCAAACAACGGGCGATTTGATCCGACACCAAATAACACCACGCTTGCAGCATTTCGCCCCAAGGCAAGCAGGTATTTGAACTTCCGTGTCACGGCATGAACACAAAGGACCACCGGCAAATCTGCATCACAGACAACAATCGAAGGACTCGCAGTAAATAATCAAACGTATCGGTGCGCACGTCGACTTATCAAAGGACCGTTCGTCATCCCGGGCGGAACACGAAACAAACCCAACACACTGTACATGGGACACTTGCCCGTTTATGGATGGTACTCAAGTGCTAACGTGGAGAGAAAAACAGCGTTGATCATCTGGCAGACTGATGCAACACGAACCAACCAAGCATCCCCCGTTCGCGACTCTCCCGCGCTCACCACTCTACCGGCACATACCCCGAGTCGCAGCTCCATGCACAAACCCAAAAATGACAGCACACGTTCCAAATAGTAGCACGAGAGCAAATCGTTCGCTATTTTTTCAATCTTCATATCTGACGAAGACGTGAGGAAGGTCGTCAACGCCACTGAGAGCGAGACAAATTCCTGTTTATATTTCCTCGACATGCGCATGCCCCCCCCCCTCACCTTTCCTCTTTCGTTCATGCTCACCTCGTCGGCGGGAGCTCCCATCCCCATCTTGATCCCCTTAGAGGGGGTTGAAGAAGTAGCCGGCCTTGGCCACGCTCTCGGGGGTGGAGAATGCCTCGCCGAGCTGGTGGAGGATCCCCTGCCCCTGGACGAGGGTCTGGAAGTACATTCCCGTGATGCCGATCATGGCGGTGCGGCCGTGCTTCATTTCCTGCAGACTCGGGAGAGAGGGGGAGAGGATCGGGGTTGGTTCACAACACCAGGGCCTCCCGTGTGTGATGGGCTTGCGGTCATGTGACAAAGAAGATGCGAGGTCCTCGTTCAGATTATAGATACATGATGCGATGTGCGGCCCGTCAGGCATTCCATCGACATTACAAATGAGTGCATGACGGCGAGAATGGCCTTCAGCCAGATTTAAAAAAGTTTTTAAGACCAACGTAGATTTGGTGAGTCTCATCCAGTAAGGGCTGTCAAACGCTGATTGCATGCTCTCTTCACGCAGGGTCACTAACACCAGCCAGATTTCACGCTGCACACGATGGCAGTCTTGCTAGTCATCGAAAAAATCTACAGCCACATCCTTCCCGTTTGATATAACCAGAAGTTTGTTAGACAAAGTTGTTGGTTTCCTTGTGCACCTTGTGCCTTTAGTACAAGCGTAGGCTAAGACAAAAATATGTGCTGAATAACCAAATTATTGATATTTTCATATTTTCGAGTTAGGCTAGGGCGCTACAACCCATGGAGTTCCACGTACCGGACAAACACCTGGGTTTCCACGATGGCGAAAGACAAGGCAAGCGTCGTGTTGTGACGCCTGTGGTAATATAGGGCCCCCGGCTGTTCTTTTCAAAAGATACTTCGTGCGACGAGTAGACTTGTTTCTATTTGCATGCCGACGGCAAACGGCCGCTGTCGCGATGATGGATAGTTGTGAGGGGGAGACGCTTTATATTTGCTCGATGTGCATGTATGGCTTATGATCGAAAAACTACCGAGTCAATAGTGGGCCCCGTAGTAAGTGCCGCTGTTTTCTCGCGCTCACTGAAAAACCAAGTCGTTCTGTACTTCGAACGAACAGTGCCAGTGTCCGCATTAGTACAGAAAATTCTCTGTACACGACCAGCACTACTGTACGCCGAACACAAAAAACGAGGTGATCCGGGACGAACAAAGCTATGGCAAGCAGGTAGAAAAGATGGGGCGTTTACCACCATAAATCAAAGTGATGTGCACACAACCAACCGATCACCATATTATATCATGGTATCACTGTGCGTCTGGCCTTGTGACAATTTTTTAACTGCTGTATGCATCCCATAATAGAGGGCCTCGCAAGGATTTTATGGCTAGCGGCACAAGGACACAGCCGGAAACCCGCATCAAATAGGGTGATTTCATGAAGTACAGATAGCGCCCGTACTTCCACAAGAGGATAATCATAAGCACCCCAGCCTTGGCCGAAACTATTTAGAGGTTCTCAAGTGCGGGCGCCATCTGTACTGATGAGTTTTGCCACAGGGTGACGTGTAGTGGTGGAGAACGTCCTGCTTCAGCGCCATAGGTCCAAGTCAGCGCGCATGCATATCATATTCAACTGCAACAATACAGCACGAAGATTACGGCAGCAACCGGGTACTAACGAGGAGCAACGTTGTACCGAGTTGAGAAACTGCAGAGGGCACAGCAATGTTTCGCTGGTGCTGGGACCTCACTGATCTTCAAATTATCTTGGCTTTTGCTGTGGCACAGTATGTGGAATGCACTACAATCCACTTGCGGTTGTGCCAACGGTTTGACAGCTTGTTCACGAGGATCACACAGCCGTTTCCAAACCGAGCGAGTCACAGGAGGAGCGAGAAAGCTCAAGGCAGTCACGCATGCGTCGCGCAAGACGCCCACACCCCACCTCTCCATTTCGTTGTGAACCCACGCCAAACTATGTGGAAACAAGACAACATGGAAGAAACAAAAGGTGCCCCCCCCCCCCCCAAAAA